GATGGGCCGCGGGTAGAAGGCGGTGACATGGCAGACCAGCAGCAGCTGGTGTGGGCTGGGCGTGCGGGCAAAGACCGTGGCCACGGGCACCTCTGGGGGATGGGAGCAAAGGGGAGCCCTGGTTGGGCAGGGCTTGGCCCCAGGGCTTTGAGGTGGCCGTGGCAGGGTCAGGGTGGTCTCACCTTGTCTCTCCAGAGCTGCCCTCCCTGAGCTCAGAAACCTCTCCATGGCATCGACACAGGTATCATTGAAGAGGACCTCGATCCGCTCACTGAAAGCTGTGTGGTTTTTGAGGTAGGCAAGGAAGTACCGAGACAGATCAGTGTCCTGGGAGAGGGTCCAGGTTACGTTCTCTGTGTCAAAGCTGAGGAAATCCTGCCCGTTGTAGCCCACATAGGCAAAGGTCCGAGAAGTCCTGTTGGGGTAGAGCTCACAGCCTGCAATGCACTGAACCACAAAGGGGTCTGGAGGGGCAGAGAGGAGAGAGAGAGGTTGCATGAGGGGCTGGGATTGCTTTGGACATGATCAGTGTCCCCTCTACAGTGCCAGCACTTGCCAGATCCTTCCCCACTCCCCAGCTGCTGTTCAGAGAGGGGAGGCAGTGAAGACTGGATACTCACAGGGCACATCCCTCTGCATGGCCCCTTCATTGATCAAGTGGCTGACCTTCAACAAATAGATCCTGAGCATGTTGTCAATGGTGTCCCAGTCCATGCGGGGTAGAGCTGGACGCACCCAGGGCTGGTGGAAATGGATGGACCAGGTGTGCTTATCAAGAGAAGCAAGTTGGATGTCTTCCAGCAGGCCCACCCCCTCTGTCTCCACAAAGGAGGTGTTTTGGAAGGTGGAGGTCTGGAGCAGCCGGAGAGTGACGGTCCCTACATGAGACAGGGAGGAGATGGGAGTGGGAGGAGAGGCACAGGGAAAGTGGAGGGGCTGCCAGGCAGGTCCTTGAGGTTGCAGTGATCTGTGGACCCCCCTAGGCCCCCACAGCCTTGGCAGCCCCGGTTCCCACCCCCTGCACCCAGCCCAGGTGGCTGCATCCCTGCCCAGGAGGAGGTGTGGAGCCAGGGAATGAGGAGGGGTG